TCATATCTCACATTCTCTGATAGTTTTTATAGCATATTTTTAATCTGCAGTTTGGAATAACCTGTTTAAGTTTGATCCTATTGTAATAATTCTATTTCCAAAGTATGAAGTCTTCCTTGTTATCATAAGCTTCCTTTTCTTTTTTTTTTACTGCAACTTGTTTTGGTCTTATAGATATTTGCTTCTAATTACTTGACATTATGTCTTTTCAAATGCATGAGACAAATTTATCTTTTTTTTTTTTAAGGTTTTTATTGTGGATTGAGTGAAAGTTTACACAGCAGATCATCAGTTTTACATTAAAAAAAAATCATGCACCTTGTTTCATTGCAATGATTATAATCCCTTCCACGTACCATCAATTAACAGTATTTCTCTCTATTCATTTCAGCTCTTTTTTTTTTTTTTCTTTCTAACACTCAGGCATATATGATAATTTAAACCACCAAAGGGCACATTCTGAAAGTTTGCCTCCTGGCTGCCAGCTCTCAGTCCCTCTCTGCCCATGAATCTAGAGTCCTCAGCTGATCCCTCTCTCCATGTCCCCATCTCTGCCTCCATCTCTGGTGGTGCTGCTTCTCTGGATAACATCTCACATTCCGCTTGTGCTCTTCTCCCTTGATGGTCATAGGGTCCTTTGTTTCTGGACTGTAAGATTGACCACTCCCATTTTTGTTACAACACTTATACCTTTACAATTGTGACAGCCACGTTTAGTCATGATAACAAATACTATTGAATCATAAGAATCTTATTACCATCTGTTTTAACCAGACCCATCTAGACAAGATGAAAACTATTTAGTGGGGACTCTTCATCCCCACCCCCACCGGCACTCTTAAACTAAACTTCATCATGAGAACTTGTAAGCCAGTCACTTCATGCCTTTATCACCCACTCATTTTGGCAGCCCGATGTCTAAGTTTCTTGTTCCCATCTACCCTGTGCATAGAGGGGATAGCATTGATACTTGGTGTGAAGATCCTTCCCTCTCTGTTGGTAATTAGAGTTACTACCTCCATGGGTGTAGGTCAAGTTCATAAAATTGTAGCAATTACCCTCATTTCCTTTATCAAACATTCTTTTGTTTTGTTTTTATCTTCCTCTAGTCAAGTTCTTATCATCAAGCTATTGAGGCTAGGTCAAATGCATACTATCTGCAACTTTGGGTGTTCTTGTGCATCTCCCCTCACTTCATATCAGCTGGATGTTTCACTCTCAGCTATAGCCCTCTGTGGCTATGTCCTTGTCCATAGGCTCAAGTGTATCTTTTGATTCTTGCTGTTCATTATTTCCACAAACCAGATCTTTGTTGTGATTTTCCAATAATAATCCTTTAACTTTATTTTATAGTTTTTTTTTCTTTTTCTTTTTTCCCCACAGATCCTATGCTTATTTGAGGAGTCTGGTGTGGCATTGTAGATTAATGTGCTAGACTGCAAAGTTCGTTTGAACTGCAAGGTTGGGGTTCAAGCTCACCAATTGCTCCTCGGAAACCCTCTACAAGGTCACTATGGGTCAGAACCAATTTGATGGCACTTACCAACAACAACATGCTTATTTGAAGGAGTCCCAATGTTACAATGGTTAAGCGCCTGGATGCTAATTGAAAGTGAAAAACAAATGAATTGGAAAGAGTTCATGGTCTCACTATTATGGAATGGTAGAATCTCATTTCAGAATCACCTAGATAGTAGGTAGATATGAACAGCTCCTAGCCTAATTCTAACTGTATCACATTTAGTGTTAGTACAATTTGCTAGACTAAAATTGGAAATAAAATTTCCTTAACGCATTTGCATTTCACAACCCTGAAATTCCTCCTGCAGACTGTAATGGAAAGTGCACAAAAATATTCTCCCTCTTTGTGCAATAGAATATGAAACAGATTTGGCACCTTGGAGGATTCCAGTGCCCCTATGTCTATATCTACCTGAAGAGTAACAACAACTTTTATTGAAAGAAGACCTGCAGAAAAAAAGTCAAACTGTTTGGCTATTTGAGTTTTAACTAAACTGTTTGCTTTGGAGGCATCAAGGCAAGAAAAGTCAACTCATCAGGGAAAATCCCTTCTAGGACTGAAACTTAACTGAAATCCATAAGCTGTCTAGTATGATAGCTGGAAACCACCTGGGTTTACTTGTGAATGGAAGTGGGGGAAATGCAGCAATGGTTGAGTTTGACAACGTTCCATTGAAACCCGTTGAGATGAGAGAAAACAGGAAAGTCTGGTTAGTCTCACGTTTAGGAAGATGTATGAACTCCTGAGCCCATAGGCATTGACCTAATCCCTGTGGGCTACAGCTAAGAGTGAAGCAACCAGCTGGTCTGAAGTGCAGGGAAGTGTGCATGAACTCCCAAACTTGCAGCTAGTACCCATTTGACCTAGTTTGGATGGATAGCTGATCAGAACTTGGCCAGATGATGATAAAGATGTTTGATATTGTGAGCAAGTACAAATTGCTACAGTTTAATGAGTTACATTTTTGCTTATGGGTGCAGTTGTTCAAAATTCAAGCCACAGTGGAAGGATTCTTCATATCAAAGAACAGGCTTGCTTCCTCAGTGTACTGGGTTGATAATGATGAGCAATTTAGACATTTGCTATAAAAAATGAGGAGCTATGAGTGTGCTTCCTTTCAGAATGAGGGTGGTAAGGTAGAATTTCCACTGAATAGTTTCCATCTTTTCCAGACGGATCTGGTAAAAGGGGTTGGGGGATAATTGTGATAGGATTTTATAATTTTTTCTGAGTAGTTGTTAGCAGGATTCATTGTGATTGTCACACTGTAATATTAGATGACGTGTAACTACATGGGAGTAGTTAATCTTTTATTTCAGGAACAGACAATCCCAGGACCATCAAGAGGGAAGAGCATGAGTGGAGCGTGAGGTCACTACATAGAAAAGAAGTGGCAGTAGAGGTGGTGGAAGCTGCGGTGGCATGGAGATGCAGAACAGCTGCAGGCTGTGTGTCTGCAGGCAGGAGGCTGGCTTGCAGAATGTGCCCTGTGAACATTTAAATGAATACATATATTTTTGTTTTGTATGTGTAAAAAAAAAAAAAAAAAAAAAGCTGAATCAAACTGAAAAAAATAATACAATAAAATAAATAACTGCAAGTGACCTAGGAACTGAAATAAGTAGGGGTAAATGTTGATCTGTTCAAGTAGGCATTTTAGCATTATCTGTGATATAAACCAAGGAGCTCTGGTAGCGTAGTGGCTACAAATTGGGTTGCTAACCTCAAGGTCAGCAGTTTGAAACCACCAGCTGTTCCATGGGAGAAAGATGAGGCTTTCTGCTTCCGTAAAGATTTACAGCCTCGGAAACCCTGTGCAGGGTCACTATGAGTTGGAACTGACTCCATGGCACACAACAATAAAAAAATGATATAAACCGGAATGAAAAAGTTGCTCTTCTTGAGTCTTTTGTAGCACTGTCATCCTTATGAAGACGTCTGTCCCTTGCATCTCCCATGCTCAGGCAGGCCTGTTCTCTGCTCTATGCCCCACAGAGCCCAGTATGTAGACCAGTCCAGCACACTGGTTGTGTTGACTGCTTGTGCTTCCTAATAGATTATTAGTCCCTTGGGTGATTGAGGAAATCTTTCATTAGTTTATTGTATGTGCCTAATTAGTACAGTAGCTGGCTCAAAAGTAAAAGATTTTGTCTTCTTTCCCCAAAGTAGACAGAATCCTGACTTTTTTTTTTCTTAAATGTTTTATTGTGAATTATGTGATAGTTTACATGGGAGAACATTAGTTTTACATTCATTCTATCGTATATCATCTCATTGCCACGGTTACAATCCCCTCCATGCAATCCTTCCCACGTACCCCTCAGTTCTTCAGCACACAGTCGCTCTCCCTCTCTGGATCTAAAGTCTCCAGCTGCTCCATCACTCCATGTCATCATCTCTGGCTCCATTTCAGGCATCACTTCTTCTCTGGATAGGATCCCGCTCTCTGCTCTTCTCCCTTGATGGTCCTAGGGACCTCCGCTCCTAGACTGAAGAGTTAATCACTCCCCTCCTTGCTATAAAACGTCTACCTTTACATTTCTGACCCTCACAATCAGTCCTGATAACAATTATTCACTATTGTATCACAAGAGACCCGTCTGCATTTCATCGCATCAGCCCCACCTAGTCAGATTGAATACTACTCACTGGAGATTCTACCTTCCTCCAGGCCCTCTGGATCTAGGTTTCCTCTTGAAAGCTTGTAAGCCAGAATCCTGACTTTTAAGACATAGGTTATTTTTGAGAAATGTTTGGCCTTATAGAAATGTAATGATGTGGTATGTTGTTGTATCTGGCTTTTTTTCCATTCAGTATACTGTTTGTGAGGGTCATCCATGTTGCTGCCTACATTGGTAATTTTTTCCTTCTATCTTAATTGCTTTGTAGGAATACAGTATCTATTTTATTACCATGTTGTTATGTACGGATTACATTGTTTTCCTGATGTAATTCAATGAATAATGTTGCAATGAACATGCTTGTCCATGTCTCTTGGTGCACATGGGTCTATGTGTCTACTGATGTATCAGGAATGAGACTGTGGGTCATAGACAATGAATATATTCAATTGTGGTAGACACTGCTCAACAAGAAGCTCTCTGAAGGCAGGAATCATGTCTTTGCACATATATGTCTATCACCTAGCACCATGTCTGGCACTTGCAGTCATTCATCAGCATTGGTTCCCTTTCTACTTCCATTTCCATGTACCTAGCATGTGGTCAAGCTAGTTCAAGCCTTGCTTCTCTGAATATCAAGAAGTCTGTCTATTTTTAGTGAGAAAAAAATTGTATTCAGTACCCTCTGTCCACAGCCTGACTCACTGGAGCAGATAAATATGCTCATTCCTGATTTGTGTTCTCCAAAACCTATAAATGTCCATATTTGTGCAGGTTCCACTCCATTTCACTCTACTCATTCATCAGATTTTACTTTCTGCACAGGAGAACTGCAAAATCCTAGGGAATTGTAAAACATGAAAATGCTCTTTCTTTTTGCTGTTCTCTTCTGTTTGGTCCAAACTAACTCAGGTAAATGCCTCCTAGAGAAGTTAGAAGACTGTTCCAGCCAGCAGAGACCAAAAGGGAAAGATCTGAAAAACAGCACAAAAATTCCATTTATGTATTTGTGTTTGGGTGTGTCTGTGTGTGGGGTGTGTCTGTGTGTATGTGTGAGTATGGGGGTGTGTCTGCTTGTTGTTGTTGGATACAGGTGGATTGATCAGGGATTTGGATCTAGACCATTTTGGTTTTAAGGTAACATGAAAAATGGAATTTTTTAGCTCTGATGTGAATAGGAACCCTTCACTGCCATCCGAGAATAGTTCTTGAAAGAAAATATAGTCATATTAATGTCAGATCTGGATGGGAATTAGAAATGTTTTATTCCTACCCTTCACCCCTACCCACCAATAGAGAGGAAACTGAGCTCCAGAGAAATTATTCATTTTACTATGGGGCAATTAATAATTATGATAGAATTTCACATTTATAATGGTATTCCCTCAGTTTTCACAGATAGCCCATTATACAGATGAGAAAACTGAGGCATGGCTTATTAAATGAATTGTCAACAGAGAGAAAATTAGTGATCAGAAGAAGTAATGCTAGACTCTGCATCTTCAGACTCCTAGACTGATGGTCCCCCTACCTCCCTTCATTGCAGGCGGAGTTCACTTCTTCACTTCTCTCTACCCCCAAATCTCACCAGGTAAAAATGTGAGGGAATCATAGACTAGGTTTCTTCTGGAGCTGGGATAGTGTGCAAAGTGGTTTCTTTAATCATTCAAGACCAACAGTTATTTTATTTGTTTAGTCATGATAGGTGGAATTTGGAACCCTGATATAAACTTGCTTTAAATTCTCCCCTTTCCAAGTAGAAAACACTTCCCTTATGAAAACTTTAAATGATTCTACTTGATTTCCAAGCCACCTGGCATTGTGAGAAGGATGGCTTTATTCTCTGATTTTCCTTGTAGATTATGAAAACAAAACTGAGCAATAAGCTGAGAGTCAGAATTATTCCTAAATTTCCTATAAACCAAGATTTCTCCCTTCATCATTACATTCTGTTCTCCCAAAAGCCTTCTGCTTTTCTCCAGTTGCATTAACTCATAGCTTTCATGAGGAATTTTTAAAACCCTGATGTAATGACTAGGGTCTACTACTATGTAAGAGATGGCTCTTAGTATGCTGTATGATCCTCCCAGAAACATTTTGAGGTATAGAACATTGTCAATTATTGGTAGATTATTAGTAAATTATTAATATTGATAGATTAGTTACCAATTACTGTAGATTATTGTTTTACATATAAGGAACTGACTTCAGTTAAATTGGGATGTGTCAAAAGACTCTTATTTAGGAATAGTAAGTGTGTTTGGACCTGGGCCGGTGGCTAGAGACATCTTTTATTGTCTATACAGCATGACTTAAACATCAACTGTGTTCTATTGTATCCATAGGAGATGTTCCACTTGGGATTAGAAATACTATCTGCCTTTTACAACATGGGACCTGCAGACTTTTTTTCTGTCGTTCTGGTGAGAAAAAGGGTGACATCTGCTCTGATCCCTGGAATAGGTGCTGTACAACAGAGGAGATCAAAAAAGAGAAATCAGAAATAAATGACTAGTCTGTTGATATTTAAACTGTGAGCTTCTAGAAGACTGGGATCTTGAAGTATCTCAAATGCTTAGAGGAATGCGTGTTACATACATTTGTGGGAAGAATCCAGCACCAAAGTTTAAGGTCTAATAAATTAAAAAAAAGAAAAAATTCTAAAAACTTGTCTATTTTGCATTTTTCTGGGCTTTTTTTTTTTTTTTTTTTTTTAAGAACCTCAGACTCTTGTAATATCTTTTCTCCTTTTGCTGTTTTAGAATCTATCCCTTATAGATCCACAGATAGGGTTAGATTAGAAACCAAGCTTCAAATTTACCTTTGTTGTTGTTGTTGTATAGGGTTTCTGAGGAGCGGATTATCTTTGTTGTTGTTAAGTGCTGTTTAGTCATATCTTTCCCATCTAATGACATCTTTCTTCTCCTCAATCCCAACACTCATCCATTACCATTCATTCTCACTCAAAATGACTTTATAGGACAAACTTGAACTGCTCCATAGGGTTTCCACTGCCATAATCTTTGTGGAGATCCTTGGTGTGGTGCTATAGGATAAGCACTTTACTGCTAAGCCTAAGGTCAGCAGTTCAAACCTACTCATTTCTCTCAGAAATCCTATACAGGGTCAGTCGGAATTGAAACAGCTCAAAGGCTCACAACCCCAAAAGTCTTTAAGGAATCTGCCATGTTTTTCTGCCACACAATGGCTGTTGGGGTTAAACCACTGACCTGTAAGTTGAGGACTTTAATCAGTACACCTCTGGGACTCCTCATCCCAATACTGGTCTCCTCCTATTCGTGTTTTGGTTATGTGTCACTGAGTTAGTTCTGAATCATAGTGAGCCTGTGACAAAGCAGAACCGCCCTGTAAGTTATTCTAGTGAAATCTTCACAGAAGAAGACTGCCTGGTCTTTCTCTTGCAGAACTGCTGGGTAAGTTCAAACTTCCAACCTTTCAGTTTGCAGATAAGTACTTTACCACTGCACTACCAAGGCTCCATTTCCTACTCATTTTCCCACAGCATAATAAGTTTGGAACCTTTTTCATTTTCTGTTGTCTCCTCTCCTCCCATAGTAATAAAAGAAAGTCACATTTCAATAAGATTTTTGTTTTCACACAATTACTCATAGGGTATTTCAACTAACACAATTTTATGAAGTGTGTAGTTGGGTATAAGCAGTCTTATTTCAGAAATGGAAGGGTTAAGAAACTCACCCCTGGTCCACAACTCATAAGTGAGATTTGGGTATGGCTAATTAACCAAGTGCTCATTCTTCCATGTTAATGCTCAACAAAATATTTCTGAGCAAGTAAAGTAGGTTTAAGGTCCTGGTTTATGAAGATTTCTTAACATTTACAATTCTTTACCCTTTCTTTTTCTATGTCTTGTTCAAAATACATGGCCCATACCATATCTTTATGCTGGTCTTCTAAAGAGTAGTGAATGTTTATTATAAATAAGAACCATAAAATTTTAAAAATGCAAATGTGCAGAAGAATAAGAGAACAAGTGCTAAGGTTTTCCCAGAAAAGAAAAGCTTATAAGATCCTTTCAATCTTTCCTTATAATGCTTGCATCAATGAATTTTGGTTTGGAATTCAAATTTGCTCATGAAAAAGTTGAATTAACTTTTAGAGTGTCCTAGAAAATACACTTTCTTGAGTTCCTCCTGTTCTTGTTTTTCTAATGGAATAAAACAGATGACATAGAATGCTAAATCAATAGTCAAATTCCTTTTAGTCAAGTTGAAGCACTATAGAACAGAGTAGAATTGCTCAGCATGGTTTCCACGGCTATAAATCATTGTGGAAGTTACTAGCCTAGTGCTTAATCACTGAACCACCAGGGATCCTTGTATATAGTGGTGGTTGTTATTAAGTGATATCAAGTTGGTTCTGATCCATAGCCACCCTATATAAGATTCCTAAGGAGCGGCTGCTGAACTTGAACAGCCAACCTTGCAGTTCAAACTGATTTTGTAGTCCAGCATATTAACCCATAGCACCACACGTCCCTTAAACACAGACTTCTCTCAACCCCTCAAAGTGCTGAATGGAGGAATAGGCAGAACAAATTTTCTTCCAGGAGTAGATCTGTCTACCAGAGATATAAAACACTCTGGGGTGACCTGATGCTCAGAACTGGGGGGTCAGAGTTAGTATCCACCTTTAACACTGAATGTGTGTTAATAGTCTACCATTTCCATCTTTGGACCTCATTTCCCTCAAAACTATAATGTGAAACCTGGTCTAGATCTCTGAGTACTGGTTGTGGCTTACTAGTTCTTAGAAGCCATCTGATGCCATAATCTTTGTTGGAAACCCACAAAGTAGAGTGAGAAGAAAGAATATAGCCTGTCTCATTCCTCCATGTCTCTGTCATGACAGCCTGTTAGGGACATTACAGCAGAGATCAGGAGCATTTGCACAAAACCCTCAGTGGAACTGTTAATGTTGTTCTATGGTACAAACTGAGCCTGGCCTGACCTGCCTTGTGGAAACTTCATCTTCCTTAATATGTTGGGGTTTTTTTTTTTCTTTTTTTCTGAAAATGCTTGAATATGTCAAACAAACACACTAGAAAAGAGGCACTTTCCATGATTTCTGGCACAACCCAATAACAAAATCCTCAGTGAATGCTTTCTGAGGCTTAATGATGTAAAGATGAAACAAAGGTAAGGAAAATTAGGGAAGGTGAGGGGAAAGGGGCAGATCTCCAGGTTGTCTTCAATGGACAGCATTGGAGTTCATCTGATCCTTTATTTTATTTTGTTTTCTAGAACATTCCATCATGAAACACAGAGACTAATCAGACTGGACAAGCACAAAGATTTTAATCTAACAGAGCTTCAAGAACCTGGGTTAGATTCTTACTTGGCCCCTGGAGAATTCTGGGAAAGTTGCTCCATCCCATAACACTATTATAGGATAAGCATCAGACTGGTAATCTCAATGTCGGCAGTTTAAACCCATGAGCCACTCTAAGAAACCCTATACAAGGTCATTCTGAATGGGAACTGACGCAAAAGCACACAACAATGACAACAAAATGACTTTATCTAACCATCTACATGACTCTACAAAGCTCAAATATAGTTCTTAGGAAGTCTCTGGGTGTTTGAGACCCCCCCTCCACCGTTGTTTTGTTTCTGTGATCTACTTCCCAAAGGACACAACAATTGAATCCCTATGGATTACAGTAGTTATATTATTCAACATATGGGGTTGCAATAAATTGGAATATACTCCTTGGCAACTGGTTTTAAGGTTTTCAGGTGTTGGCAACTGGTTTTAAGGTTTTCAGGTGTTGTTGTTGTTAAGTGCTGTCGAGTTGGTTCCGACCCACAGCAACCCTGTATAGGCTTTCCGAAGAGGAGCTGGTGAGCTTGAACCGCCAACCTTGCAGTTCAAACTGACTCTGACTTTGCAGTCCAGCGCATTAACCCACAGCTCCACATCCTTAAAACGGTGTTGTTTTGTTGTTGTTGTGAAGTGCTGTCGAATCGATTCCGACCCATAGCGACCCTATATAGGGTTTCCCAGGAGCAGCTGGTGAACTTGAACCGCTAAAACGGTGTTGTTGTTGTTAAGTGCCGTTGAGTCGGTTCCGACCCATAGCGACCCTGTACAGGGTTTCCGAGGGTGTAAATCCTTACGGGAGTAGAAAGCCTCATCTTTCTCCCGCGGAACGGCTGGTAGTTTCGAACCGCTGACCTTAAGGTTCGCAGCCCGATTTGTAACCACTACGCTACCAGAGCTCCTAAAAGGCTTACTAATTTTTAAAGCAGAAACTCTGCCTTGACAAGACAAACAGTCTGTCAATACCAATATGTACCACTAGACGGAGACCTGCAACCTTCTATTCTTGCGAACTTGTTCTTGGAATGCAACTGATACAGTTTTTGTTTTGTTTCTGAGACTAAGTTTGCAATTTTTTGCACTCTTACTTTGGGAAACTTTTTACAAAAGCAGTAGGAAAATAATATATGAAGTTTGGTGGGTTTGGCTTAGTTCACTTAGTAAAATGTGTTAAAGCTAAACAGGGTTGTGAGCAAAGAAAGCCTGAATTATCAACTCTCTAGACTGACTTCTTGACTACCTGTAGCTGGTAACCATTCAATATGTTGTTGTTAAGAGTCGTCAAGTCGGTTAGACCCCTAGTTATCCTGTGTAGAATTTCCACCATCCTTGCAGTTCAAACTGACCTTGCCAGTCCAGCGAGTATCCTGAACCATTCAATACAGGTTTGCGAAAATTATTTCAGTTTAGACTCAAACAGTTCGGGTACTTATTAAAGTGACACTGTGCTTCTCCTCGTATTTAGGCTAGCAACCAGGACCAGCAACAGAGCTTTGGCAAAGCTGTGAGAAACGAAAGCAAAGTTAGCCTGCTCCCTGCCCTGCAGCTGAGCAATGCAGAGCAGTGTTTCAGTGTAGGATTCATGAGTTCTAACTCTGGGTCTGTCAGAGGTACTATGTTGGGCAAATCCCATATCATGGACTGTTCTCCCCAGAGATTCATAAAAGACTGAAGAGGTGCTAAATCTGAACAAATAAAGCAGTGATTATAGCATTCTGTCCTAATTTTAGAGTCCAGACACATTTTTGATGGACATTTTCTTGCCGTGTTCTTGCTTTGAGAGACTTCAGGCATGCAATGGGGGCACATGATACAAGGCAGAGTGAAGACTCAGATTTCTGGCAAGCCTCTTTCCTTGTGAGACTGGTATTTAGACAACGCTCAGCTGACCCAAGGAGAGAAGTAGAGAGAAACTGGCTGTAGTCTGGAGCCAAGGTCAGTGAGAGGGAGATAGAAGGACCAGGCTCCACAGGGTTCAGTGTGCTATACTTTACAAAGCTTTTTTCATAGATCCTTGTTCAGAGATTAGTATATTTATGCTCACTGTATGTCTCAGAGTCTGTTTCTGTCCTGAGATAACACAGCAATTAAATGGGAATAATAGAGGCATTCCCTCTATAAACTCAAGCCACCTCAAACGGCACTTCCATTCTA